TGTCTGATAATAAAGTACACAATAATACCCACTGATAATAATTAATAATAATAATTATGACTTGATATTGTGATTATAATATACTCTTTATCATTCTTCCTCTCTCTCTCTCTTTCTTGGAACTACTCGTGTTGTTTGCTTGTCTTATTGCTTTAATAACATTATTATTATTATTATTATTATTATTATTATTATTATTACTATTATTATTATTATTATTATTATAATTGTTGCATTTCTCAAGAGGTTAGATCCACTCATAGTGATACCTAGTGGAATGGAGGAGTAGAAATTACTAGTAGTAAATGACAATGATACACAACCAGGTCATTCTACAGCTGGAGAGTAATTATTATAAGAGAGAGATTGAGAAATAGATAGGAAGAGACAAGCTTCGTAGATACATGTACATGCAGTTATGTGTACAGTCAGTTCCATTACCTGTACATGTACATGTACTTCATTCTGTTGATATTCTATTATTGGAATACTTTAATGCTGTAGCTACCATAACTAACTAATGACATCATCATAAAATCATATAGTGACTGTGATATCATAATAGTATCTACCATTGGGTGGAACTAATCTTAGCTCTAGATATGAATATTGTGAACACATACATGTAAATGTAATGTACATATTTTAAAATGGAACTTCCACCCACTACTGCAGTGAATCATTATATGTGCTTTGTTAAAGGTTAGTTAGTGTAGTGTTTGTACTGTAGACAAGATTCTGTCAACATTTCCAAGATGTCTTTCCTTTTATGGAAGTATATTTGGACTCTATTCAGGAAATATCAATATACACTGACTACTTGTGACAGGAACTGGTTATTTCCATCACATTAATATCTGTCTCTGAAACATGTTGCACTATGAAGATGCAATTTTTAACAATAGTGATTCATTTGATAACAAGTAATTATCACAAGGCAATCGGGTAACTTCCCCTTTCGCAATTTAGATAAATAAGAACGGGCAAGCATTTTTCATTATCTTAATAAGGAATTATTCATTACAAACTAGCATGAAGGTTGCATATGAAGGTGCTCATAATGTCTGAATAGATCAATCACATAATGTACATGTATTTTGAATACTAAATTGTGTATGTGTCATTGTAATTTTGGAGAGATGCTACAGTTCACTTTTGTTCTTCACTGTTCTTAGTCCTGAATTAATAATAGCAGTAATTCATTTGTGACCATAATTGACAAAAGGTACCTTATGGCGGGTAGTGAAATTTGTCTTTCTAGCCTAAGAAATCCAACTTCCTGAGCCCCAGTCATCATAAAATTACTCCACAGGATGCAAAAAGTTACCATGAAACTTTTAGAAACAATGATTGTTTAACAAAGCACTCACAGGTTGATAATTTCCATTATAACTATCAATTTTAAAATCTGCCATAAGGGCCCTTTTGTCAATTATGGTCACATTTCTTATAACTATAATATTTACTTATATAAGCTGCAACAGCTTTTTCTCCAGTTTTACTAACAGCATCAGCTAATTTGCTCCATGTTGCCTCAGTATCCTCTGTCAACCATGTTGCTAAACATTCTTGAAGGCATTTATCACTGTCCCTGAAATTATCTT